CAAACCTTCTTAAACACAGAGATTTTGTAATAGTGATATTTCTCCCCATGAATCAAGTCCTTGCTACTTTGAGTCTCTCTGCAGTCACTTACCTTTCACTATATGATAATTAAAATCATGAACTTCAATAATAATCTATCAAAGCATTAATTTTATAGATGGAGAAACAGAGGTCTGGCAAGTTTAAATGTTTTTCTTAAAAGACAGAAATAAGGAAAAGAACACAATCTTCTGTTCCAAATTGGATGGTCTTTCTACTACATTGCACTTGCATTTTGTAAAATACCGGTTGAATCATTTATCAAAGCTACATTTAATTTTAGCCTCATGAACAAAGCAACCATTCCAGTAGTTGGACACAGCGATATAATTACAGATACTTCCAATACCTCTTCCCCTATTTTCTTTTGAATTCTGTCCAAACAGGCTTTCCCATCTCTGCACGGAACCTACTCTTGTTGAGTCACCAATGACTTCCATGTTGCTAACGGATTAGCTGATTCTCGATCCTCCTTTTAATTAACCAGTTAGTCCTTCTCCCTTGAAATACTCTCTTCTCTTGACTTCCAGAGTAATATATTATTCTTCTCCCTCCCCGATTTCAATTTCTAGGACTGCTTGGCTGGTTCATCCTCATCTCTCCGACCGCTAAACACTGGAGTATCCCAGGACAGGGTCCTCAGACCTCCTCTTTTCTCCATTTATAGTCAGTCCCTTAGTGGTCTCATCTAGTCTGATGGCCCTAAATACTATCTATATGTAGGCTTTTGGGTCCCAAATTTACACCTCTGATCCAGACATCTCGCCTTGAACTTTAATCTAATACATCCAACTGCTTTCTTAATATCTCCACTTGGCTATCAAAAGGCATCTCAAAATTATATATATCCATAAACAAAAGCCTTATCCTCCGCCTTTTCTCAAGCCTGCTTCTCACCCATTCTTTTCCATCACAGTTAATGGCCATGCCATGCTTCTATTCACTCGAGCCAAATCCTCGGCACCTGTCTTGTGTCATTTTGTTTTCACATATCTCACATCCAGGCTATCGTTAAATCTTTTTAGTTTTATCTTCAAAATATACACAAACTCCACCTATTTCTGAAATCTTCCACAGCTACCAACTTCACACAGGATATACCATAATCTTCTGCCTGAATTACATAGCAGTCTCCTATTTATTGCCCGTTTCTCCCCTTTCTCTGCTTTAGACTCTTCTTAAACAACTGAATGAGGATGTGGATACATAAGTCAGATCAGGTCACTGCTCTGTTCAAATCCCTGTCTTACTCAAGGTAAAAGCCAAAGTCACAATGGCCTGGAAGCCCCATTGCCCGTTTCTCCCCTTTCTCTGCTTTAGACTCTTCTTAAACAACTGAATGAGGATGTGGACACATAAGTCAGATCATGTCACTGCTCTGTTCAAATCCCTGTCTTACTCAAGGTAAAAGCCAAAGTCACAATGGCCTGGAAACCCCGTCCTGAGCCGGCCCTGTCACATTTCTGACCTCACCTCCTAACTCCTCCCTGTCACTCAGTGTGTGCGCTGTTCCTACGATGTCAGGATGCTTTTGGTCACGAGGCTTTTCATTTATTGTTCCTCCGCCTGTAACAGTCTTTCCCCAGATATCTCCCTGCTCCCTCCCTCATCTCTTTCAAGTCTTTGTTCAAAGGGGCTCCCCTGCCCACCACATTTAAAATCCCAGCACCCGAAATCCACCTCAAACTCTCCATACACTTTTCCTGCTTTTTATTTTCTCCATAGCAATTATCCCATCAAACACCATATTTGCTTTAATTATTTTCCTTATTGCCTTTGCTCCGTTCCCCATTCTCACATGGAATGTAAGCCCCATGAGAGCAGCAGCTTTTGTCTTATTCTCTTTTGTGTGAAGCAAAGCCTGAAACATAACAGTTGAGTGAATGAATGTAGACAAGCAGTTGCTTAGGGCTGGGGTGAGGATGATAGGGGAATAAGAGACTGATAGCAAAGGGGTACAGGATTTATTTTTGAGATGAGGAAAACTGTCTAAAATTGACTGTGGTGATGGTTGCACATATCTGCAAATATACTAAAAACTACTGAATTGTATATCAAAGTGGATGAATTTTATGGTACGAGCTGTTAAAAATTAACTATTAGATGTGATTATGGAAGTGGAAAATCCACCTTTACCATAGTTAACATTGAAAGGTTGGCTTGCCTTTCCCTGACCCCTGGTCATCCCTGGCACCACCTCCTGCTCCAGGTGGGCATGCTGCTGGTGTGCTGCTGGTTCTTCGACACTACGCTTCCTGCACGCACATATTCTGAATGGTTTTATCATCTCATTTTCAACTTGTCAGACATCCTTCCTCCTCTATGTCTTATGTTTTTCATGTGTTTTGAATTTACCTCCACCTGCAAACACACACCTTGCCCCAACCTGTAATACAGAGCTCCAAAGCAATCACCTGCGAAGGCGTAAAGGTTTTTGTCAAAAGCCTTAGACTATATACCAGAACTTATCTATTATTTCACACAGCTAAATGTGATGGTGGATGTCAAAGGGCTATAAGCATTCAATGTTATTCATATAATTATTATTTTAAATTCCACACTTTATTTCTTTCTATGTCAGCCGTATCACCCAACCATAGAAATGTGTGTTAGGGACTATGAAGAGCAACTATATGTAAAACAGAATCATAAAATGTCACAATTAGAAGTGACCTCACAGATGTTCAAATCCAATTCTCTCATTTTATAGCTGAGGTAACTGAGATTCAAAAAGGTAAATTGACTTTTCTAATGTCACTCACTAACACAGCCAATTCCCTTTCAAGACCCTTCCTCTCATTCCAAGCTGATCATCAATCTACAAGAGAATCAAAAACTCCTAATGATTACACATACGTACAGAGAAAATGTCACGCAAAGGTAATATGACAATGTATTAAAATGAATACTAAGTTAAAGGTTAATAGCGTATTTTAACTTCCATTTCTCTCTTTATCCTCAAAAATATTTTAAATAGTCTTAGAAGAAGCTCCAGTAGCCTAATGGATAAGGCACTGGCCTCCTTAAATATTCTTAGATAACATAAACACTTGGCCACTTCTCTCTACTTTGAATCACAATGGAAATGGAATTAATGATTTTCTTGAATTATAAATACAATTTTATGGAATCCACTTAAATTAATGAATTATTTTCTCATATAATTTAATTCAAAAAATCTCTAATTTATTAATCATCTGTTAATCAGCATGCCTAGTTTCCCCCACATTGAATCACAATTGCTAAACCATAGGAAAGTCAACTATACCAATGTGCAAGCTTTCTCATTTGTTGACAATTGGAAGGCAGCATGCCAGAGTACAATTTATTCCAATAATTTTTCATATCACATCAAAATAACATATTAGTCCAATTTCCATTTATGACTTGAGGCAATTTATACATTCTGTTTGCAGCAACATAATTTCATAAGAGTTGTTTGGAGAAAAGCAAATCGTGGTGTTAATTAGGGAAAACAATTTTTACTTTATTTTTTAGCCAACTTCAGATTCATCCCTATAGAAGAAACATATTTAGGCGATTCCAAAATAACAAAAGCCTCAAACTGCATCACAATTGGCATTTTGACATTTAATAAATTGAAACATCACAGTATAGGAGGTGTCTTACTAAGACAGTCAACACAGTAAATGACCATTCAGTTCTGTATTCACATATGATAAAGTCATAAGATAATATTCAAATCAAGTATCCAAATCATGTACAATCAGTGCAGAGATTACTAATACACATGTATATCCTCCCAGAAGAGTAGACAGGTTGTTTTCATCATTGTAAGAACAAGAAAATCCCAGAAAGTTCCAATTCCCTCTCAATTTCTCCCAGTGTCTTTTTTTTAAATAGCTGAAACCTGCCACACTTAATACCTAGCAATAATTTGAACTTATGTATGTTTGCCAAACACACAAGGAAAGAATTTGAGATTCTCAATATCACGCTGTCATTGTGAAGAGGTTGTGTCTAGGTCTTCTACTGAAAAGAGAAATTCAAAAGCAGGAAAAATGTGGGAGAACAGTGGGGGAGGACTTTTAAGAAACCACTGCTTTATTTCTTCAACTGGGCAGCAACTTGTGCTAATGAAACTCAGGTGGACGTTAGACAGCAAGCCCCAGGGCTCCTGCAATGCTACCCGCAGCCATGACAATGAGGGCTCCTATAAGTCTCACAAGAGAGGTGCTACTTTAAAGAGAAACTGAAAAGAGCAAACAGGATCATATTACAGCGGAGCAGCTGAAACACATGGCTTTAGGGCAAAAAATAAAGTTCTTTTGCTTCAACTACCTTTAAAGAGCGCAGACATACCAAATTACATGCATTTCTACTGCATGAGACATGGGCATAATGTTTATACCCATCCCTAAACCTAACTAATGATAACCTGGTGTAAAGATAAATAGATCCAGTTAAGAAATGAATGGCTTCTGTCTTTTATTTTCACGTCTTCGGTTCCACTAGTAGTTATTACTTACAGGCTTCCTTGTATCTCACACAACAGGGTTTTTCCCCCTCTTATGTGGGAGTTATCCCCAGAGTGTGCTTTCAACTTGGATGCTAGCTGTTAAAGCACTGCTGCTGCATACCCATCCAAGTCTGCCTTGGTAATTAAACATTCTTTAGTTCTAAAGTACCAGTCAGTTAATTCTGATCTGGATGTGGTTGCTGAAGACTTTTGGTTCTGGTTTTCATAAGTCCACATTTCCAGGTTTGGGGACCACTGTGCAAGTTTCTTAAACAAGTCATCTACTCCATGCATAGAGACTTAAGTAGGTATCAGAGAGCAAACCCAGATCCCAGCAAGCAATTCTTTGTTAACAACTGTATTCAGCTGCACATTTTTTAAAAAAATGGCTTTGAAACTTTCTGACAATAAAACAATTTCATAGCATAAGAAATAATGTAATCATGAGACACAACAAATACAAATAAATATTCCCCTTACCTGGATCATGGAAAGGCACCAAAGCAAAGTTGAAAAGAGGTCTCTTAGGTCTTTTCAAAGACGTCTCCAGAATTTTGGAAGCCCCTTCAATAACCTGAACTAAATCATCATACATGGAACCAGTCACATCAAACACAAAAGCCAAGGTGGAGGCCCCCTCGGGAATTTCCTCAGCCCTGATCTCCGACGGGGGACCCGCATCTTGAGCTAGGGACGAATAAAGTAGAGCCAACAGGAGTACTGTGTGGACAACTTCCCAGGAAATCATTTTTTTTCTTTCTTTCTTCTTTCCCCCCCTTAGCTCCTAAGCACTGTGCTTAGTCCTCAACAACAGGCAGAGGGTTTCCTCTCCGTGCAATTCATCAGACTCTTGCAACCTCTGAACTCGCAAAAAGTCTGGAGCTGAGAATCAGGAGGGGACAAGCACCAAACCCGAATCCCTCCAGGGGCCGGGCAGGGCAGGGATGCAGCGCTTTTGTCTGGACGCAGCTTCCTCCGGGACTGCTATCTGCCGGCGGGCCCCGGGCAGCGTGTGGCCGAGTGTGGGTAGCGCGCCGGGTCCATGCCCCGGGGGCAGCTCTGAGCCTGCGGCGCGCGGCCCGAGTCCCGCCGCC